GGAGCAATTAGAGCCTGTGCATCTCACTTTATGCCAACTTTACCTTCAAAGGAGAAAAAGATCCAGGAACGATGCTCACCCCTACTCAGCTGATGGGCTGCCTGCTGAAGGGCTGTCTGCTGAAGGGCTGTGTGCAGTACACAGATGTCTGCAACTTGCCTTGAAACGCGCCAAAAAATAAGACAGTGAGGGCAGCATAGCTTTGGGGAGCGGACCACAAGTGTGAGCGAGGGACTCCACAATTCACTTCAACTTTGCAGGTGTTTGAATTTTTTTTTTTTTTTTTTTTTTTTTTTTTTTGAGACAGAGTCTCGCGCTGTGGTCCAGGCTGGAGAGCAGTGGCTGGATCTCAGCTCACTGCAAGCTCCGCCTCCCGGTTTTACGCCATTCTCCTGCGTCAGCCTCCCGAGTAGCTGGGACTACAGGTGCCCGCCACCTCGCCCGGCTAGTTTTTTGTATTTTTTAGTAAAGACAGGGTTTCAGCGTGTTAGCCAGGATGGTCTCGATCTCCTGACCTCGTGATCCACCCGTCTCGGCCTCCCAAAGTGCTGGGATTACAGGCTTGAGCCACCGCGCCCGGCCAAGTGTGTACATTTTAAAAGGAGCTTCGAATTAAACATTTAACGAGGTTAAAATGACTGCTTTCCCTGAAACGAAAATCACCCGGCACTTGATCCGCATTCACCTGGCTCTATCAGGAGCTTCCAGGGAAGTTTCTAGACGATGGAAGCTCAATTATGTGCTTCCCTTACGAGGACATCACATTCTCTCTGGCCAATCCTGGGAGGGCCCATTAATGCCTTTGGGGCCCAACCTACAGGTCCCCCAGCTAATGAGCTCCTGGGGCTCTGGAGGCTCTCCTGTGTCCAGCATGGCCAGTACCGGTGTCCTCCCAGAAGTCCCTCCCTTTTGCTGAGCAGCTGCTTCTGACCATCTGGGAATTACAAAAAAAGTCTGCAGAGAAGAGGTCCTGTCTGAGGCCCCCAGGGTGCGAGAGCCTGGATTCTGCCAGCTGGGGCCTCTTTTCGCCTCCCTTCTGGCCCCTGCCATGCTGTGCTGGGTAGTCTTCTGCTCAGTGCAGCCGAGTGCCAGTCAAAGGAGAGATGCGTGAGCACAACAGAGGGCAGGTGACACAACGCCCTCAAAGGGCGCCAGACATTCCTGAGTGCGGTAGAGGCCCACGCGAGACTCCTATCAGCAGATGACAAGGCCCGGAAACGGTCCAGTCATGACGGTGCAGCCCTGCACCCCACTGCTGTGCCATCAAACGGCCCCGGGTCCAGGAACCAACCAGGCTTCCCCACCACAGCTGTGGACAACACAGCAAGGAGCCACTCCACCGTGAAGAGGATGGGGAAACTGAAGCCGCCCACACCCTGGCTGGCTGCATGATGCTCGCAGGGAGAAAAACTGCAGACGGGTCCTGACTCAGACAGACACATTTTCCTTAAGTGGAAAAGTTTACAGAGATTTAAATAAGGCAGAACTAAAATTTAAAAGAACAAGAAATTTCTCTCAACAGCCTCACACACAAATGCTTTTACTGGATACCCAAAGAGAGAAACAAGGGAAACTGCTCTTGTATATACAGCCCCACAGAAAGGGCTGTGTCCACAACAGTCAGCAGTGGAGGGGCCAGCAGGGGCCCCACCCTGAGTGGACACCACCTTTCCCGGTCCCATGGGACTGAAGAGGGGGACTGAGGTGCCCACACGGTGTGAGGACCAAGAAGCAAAACCCACACCAGTGTCTCAGCTCGGGCCTCCTTCCAATTCGCGCCAATTCTAATGAGCTGTCATAGTCTGGCAGTGCCAGGCCAGGACCGCCTGAGGACAGAAGTTCAAGACCAGCCTGGACAACACAGCGAGACCCCATCTCTATTTTTTTTTAAATGTGGCTGGGCACGGTGGCTCACGCCTGTAATCCCAGCACTTTGGGAGGTCAAGGGGGGCAAATCATAACGTCAGGAGTCTGAGACCAGCCTGGCCAATATGGTGAAACCCCATCTCTACTAAAAATACAAAAGTTAGCCGGGCATGGTGGCGTGTGCCTATAATCCCTGCTACTTAGGAGACTGAGGCAGGAGAATCGCTTGAACTGGCAAAGCGGAGGTTGCAGCAAGCCAAGATTGCACCACTGCACTCCAGCCTGGGCGACAGAGCGAGACTCCGTCTCAAAAAAAAAAAAAAAAAAAGGCCAGGCCTGGTGGCTCATGCCTGTAATTCTAGCACTTTAGGAGGCCAAGACGGGTGGATCACGAGGTCAGGAGATCGAGACCATCCTGGCTAACACGGTGAAACCCCATCTCTACTAAAAATACAAAAAATTAGCCGGGCATGGTGGCGGGCGCCTGTAGTCCCAGCTACTCGGGAGGCTGAGGCAGGAGAACAGCGTGAACCCGGGAGGCGGAGCTTGCAGCGAGCTGAGATCTCGCCACCACACTACAGCCTGGGCGACAGAGCGAGACTCCGTCTCAAAAAAAAAAAAAAAAAAAAAGTCGGAGCCTAGTGCTCACAGTCTCTCTTGGCAAGGGAAAATAAGAGTTTAGAATTCAGGGGCTTCCGAGCCAGCCAGATGCAAGGGGCCAAGCTGCCAAGAGAAAAGGAAGCAACTTCAACAAGCGAGCAGGGCACAGTGCACTCAAGTCCCTTCACGGCAGCTGCCACCCCAGGAGCCACAGGCACCAGGCTGAGGCCCACCAAGCCCAGAAGTCAGCTCTGAAAGACAAAAGAGCTGAGCAGGAAGTTCTGCAGTCCCGAGGTGCCAGGAAGGAATACCTGGGTCCTGCCACGATCCTTCAGCCGGGAACCAAGATGGACCAGCAGCAACTGGATCAGAGTGAGCTACCTGCGTGCTCTCTGCTTGCTCAAGAAAAGTTAAATTCCCAGTGGGGCGCGGTGGCTCATGCCTGTAATCCCAGCACTTTGGGAGGCTAAGGCGGGTGGATCACGAGGTCAGGAGATCGAGACCATCCTGGCTAACACGGTGAAACCCCATCTCTACTAAAAATACAAAAAATTAGCCGGGCATGGTGGCGGGCGCCTGTAGTCCCAGCTACTCGGGAGGCTGAGGCGGGAGATTGGTGTGAACCCTGGAGACGGAGCTTGTAGTGAGCCGAGATCGCGCCACTGCACTCCAGCCTGAGTAACAGAGCGAGACTCCATCTCAAAAATTAGGTGGGCATGGTGGCATGTACCTGTAATCCCAGCTACTCGGGAGGCTGAGGCAGGAGAATCACTTGAACCCGGAAGGCGGAGGTTGCAGTGAGATGAGATCACGCCACTGCACTCTAGCCTGGGTGAGGCAGCGAGACTGTCTCAAAAAAAAAACAAAACAAACAAACAAAAAACTGTGTGATGTAACAAAACTCACCTAGAGAGAAATGTATAGCCTCGAGTGCTTCTGTTAGAAAAAACAGGCCAGATGCAGTAGCTCACACCTGTAAACCCAACACTTTGGGAGTCCAAGGTGAGAAGGTAACTGGAACCCAGGAGTTTGAGACCAGCCTGGACAATACAGTGAGACCCCATCTCTAGTGCACCTATGGTCCCAGCTACTCAGGGCGCTGAGGCGAGAGAGTCGCCTGAGCCAAGGAGTTGGAGGTTGCAACGAGCTATGGTGGTGCCACAGCAGTACAGCCTGGGAGAACAGAGCAAGACCCTGTTTTCTAAAAAATTTTTAAAAATTAATCAGTGTTATTTACATTAAGTAACAGATTAAGGGGGAAATATACATGAAAAAATCATACCAATAAATACATTAAAAGCATGTGTTTGATAAAATTCAGTATTTTTCATGACAAAAACTCTTGGAAAATTAGAAAGCAAGGTCACATCCTCAAGCTGATAAAGAGCCCTGTACACAAAAGTCTACCGCAGATACGTACACAAAAGTCTACCGCAGATACGTACACAAAAGTCTACCGCAGATACATACAGCAAAAGTCTACCGCAGATACGTACACAAAAGTCTACCGCAGATACGTACAGCAAAAGTCTACACAAAAGTCTACCGCAGATACATACAGTAAAAGTCTACCGCAGATACGTACGCAAAAGTCTACCGCAGATACGTACACAAAAGTCTACCGCAGATACGTACACAAAAGTCTACCGCAGATACGTACACAAAAGTCTACCGCAGATACGTACACAAAAGGCAGAAAACACCCTCCCAGGACAGGAGACAGCCAGGCATGTCTCCCGCCCCAGGACCACGCTGAGTCCTCGGCATACAAAAGGTAGGACGAGTAGATGAGAGGTGTGTGAGTTAGAAGGGAAGAACCAAGGCCGGGCCGGTGGGCTAACACCTAGAATCCTACCACTTTGGGAGACTGAGGGGGCGGATCACTTGAGCTCAGGAGTTTGAGACCAGCTTGGACAATACAGCGAAACCCCATCGCTACAAAAAGTACAGAAATTAGCCAGGTGTGGTGGTGTATGCCTGTAGTCCAGCTACACGGGAGGCTGAGGTGGAGGATTGCTTGAATCTGGGAGGCAGAAGCTGCAGTGAGCCAAGACTGCGGCACTGCACTCCAGCCTGGGCGATCAAGTGAGACCCTGTCTCATGAAAAAAATGAAAAGAAAGAAGTACAACTGGCATTATGAGCAGCAGACACAGTTGTGTGCATTAAAAGAGAGACTCCAAAACTCAAACAGTAAGATTGACAATTCAATTTGGTAGGAATGATGTATTAACAATGTCAACATACGAAACTCAGCTAAACCTCTGCTACGCCAGCAACAAGACACCACTGACAAGGGGCCCACAGGGGCCCGCGCTGGGTGCGCCTGTTTCCAGGTCAGCCTTTGGAAGTCTGAAATGGCAACTTCTTTTTTTTTTTGAGACGGGCTCACCCTGTTGCCTAGGCTGGAGTGTAGTGGTGTGATCATGGCTCACTGCAGCCTCGACCTCCTGGAAGCAATCCTCCCACCTCAGCCTCCCCAGTAGGTGGGACCACAGGTGCGCAACACCAGCCGGGCTGATTTTTCTTTCTTTCCTTTTTTTGTAGAGACAGGGTTTCACCATGTTGCTCAAGCCGGTCTCAAACTCCTGGACTCAAGCGATCCTCCTGCCTGGGCCTCCCATGTGATGGGATTTACAGGCTGAGCCACTGTGCCTGACCTGAAATGCCAACTTCTTCATGCCTAATGATGTGTGCGCCATTTGATTTCCTCATCAGCCATCCTGATACCTTCTTCTGACCACTTAAAACTGTTACAAATACCCTGTCCTTGAGGAGGCAGCAGAGGGAGAGGAGCAGGAACAAGGGGGTCTGGTGGCAGAACGAGGTGCTGGTCAGAACAGGAGGGCAGAGAAGTGTGGGCTCTGAAAGCCCATTCCAGACCCCAGAATGGAATCAGCCAAATGCACACGGCCCCTGCTGACCTGAACGCACATTTCTGCAGCCTGAGAGAGGAGCTGGGTCTGAAGGGAGTATGGCGGCTGGCAGCAGAGGCCTTGCTCCCACGTGTGGCCAGGCATGACATGGAGGCTGAGCTGGTGGGCCATGGGAGCTGGGCATGCTCTCTGCAGACCTACGTGGGGACAGGTGATGGCACCATCCACAATGCTGGCCCCAGGGCTCGGACGCCCTCAAGGGCTCACCAGCCTGTCACCATCCAAAAGATGCCCTCTCACATGCAGGCCTACGGCAGCCTGGCTGGACAGGAACAAATGTGAAAGATCCACACACCAGCTGTGGGCAGAAGCGGCAATAACAAGTCGAGACATAGCCAGGAGAAGCACGCTGGCCACACACTACCTGCTCGTTCCAGGAGACACACAGCCAGGAGAAGCACGCTGGCCACACACTACCTGCTCAGCAACGGCAGGGCTGCTTGTTCCAGCTGAGTCTCTGCCCAGCAGGTCCTGCGTCTCAGTCCTGCTGCCCAGGCAGCCTCCCTGGGCTGGGAGCCAGGAGCAGACTCAGGCCTGGGTCAGCCGGGCCTCACCAGACTCAGTGGGACTCAGCAGCGCACTGTTCCTCCTCCAGGAATCCGGGACTGGCTGTGTCAGCCGCGAGGCTGCGGGGCCAAGAAGAGGTGAGTGTGCACAGCCCCCAGTACTTTCGGGGTGATGGTGGACACACCTGAGGAGTGGGCAACAATGAAGGGTGGGCAGGAGGAGGAATGAGCTTGGATGTTCTTAAATCAAGCCCTTGTTCCTTCTGAGAGAGGACTTCTCGTATCCAGTCCTGGACTCCGGGCACTGGTCCCACCCATGCGCTGGATGATGCAACAGGAGGATCCTGGGGGCCTCGCCTGGGGTGGGGGCCGTGCACCCCACAATGTGAGCTCACTGCACAGGACCCTCCACGTCCTGCTGACAGCAGCGTGGGGGTGGGGTGGTGGGTGCTGCTGTGCCCTGACTGAAGGGGGCGAGTCCAGAAGGTGAGTGGGAGCTGCGCAGGCAGCAGGGCTGGGTCAGGCAGCCCTGTCTCGGAGAAGAGAGCCTGGCTGCACACACCCTCTCCTGGGGGGATTTTCTGTGGAAGGGAAGTGGGTGGAGCTATTGAGGAAACTGAGGCAGCACAGGAGCCAAGCCAGCCAGCTGGGGCTGCAGGAGGCGAGAACAGGGGCCACAGAGCCAATGCAGGTCAGCAGGGAGGGAGAAGGCACAGGGGCAAGAGAGAACGAGGAGGGCGGTGAGAGACAGACATGTACAGGATGGGTCTGGGGGCTCTGGCTGGCAGGCCTAGGGCACGGTGCTGCCAGCAACGTGAAGGGAGGGCAGAGCAGGACATGCTACACCTGGCCTGACCCACTTCCCTGTAAAGCGCCGGCACAGCTGGGGTGGGCTGGGAAGTGAGGGCTACGGCTACCCGAGACCAGCCCGGAGCATCCTCTGAGGATGCTGAAGGGAGCCCCACCAGGCCACCAGCAGCCAGAGGGGCTAGAATGCAGTCTCCCGTGAGCACAGCCCTGTTCCAAGCTGTCTTGTCCTTAGCAGCTTTACAAGGTACAAGTTCGTGCCACAGACCTGCCTGTTCATGATGCACCGGGCAGTGGGTTTTCGCATATCCCCAGAGTTGAGCAACCACCACAAGGATCTAATTTCAGAATGCCTGGGGGACACGGGGTGGTTTCCTGGATGCTGCCACTGTGGGCAGTGTGTGTGAGCCTCGGTGGCCATGCAGGTGCTTTCCCTCGGGCAGACACCTAGTAGGACTGCTGGGGCATGTGGGAACTTTGTGGCTAAATGTGGTCCCGCCAGGCTCAGAGGCAGCCCCAGCAGTGCCGCAGGACTCCTCTCCATCCTGCCTGTCATCACCCCATGAGGGCCCACGTCCCAGGGCATCTGTCCCCCCACAGGAGGCCCGGTGAGGCAGCAGCACAGACACGGTGCCACCCCACCTTGCTGACACCGGGGTTCCAGTGCCGCCCTAGGCCCTGCTCCACAGAGGTCCCCACACAGTTCCTACAAACACAAGGGAGGCACAGCCAGGTGCTGACCCTGGACTCTGCTCAGCTTCTCTCTCAGGGTCTTGGTCTGCCCCTGAGAGAGCAGGGTCGGAGCAGGCCTCTCAGCGGGACCCCATGGTGGAGCTGGGGCTAGGACGAGCAGACAGCAGGCAGGGTGGGGCAGGGATGTGGGGGTGGGTTCTGTTTCTCAGCCTTCACTGGGCTGCCTGGGCACTTCTCATCATCCCTAAAGATGTGTGTGCGTTGGCCGGGCGCGGTGGGCTCAAGCCTGTAATCCAGACTTTGGTGAGGCGGTACGGCGATCAACGCAGAGATGCGAGACCATCCTGCTAACACAATGAAAACCCCGTCTCCTACTAAAAAATACAAAAACATTACCGGCGTGGTGGCGGCGCCTGTAGTCCAGCTACTTGGGAGGCTGAGGCAGGAGAATGGCGGGAACACCGGGGGGGAGCTTCAGTGAGCCGGATCGGCGCCACTGCACTCCAGCCTGGCGACAAGAGCGAGGATCTGCCCTCAATAAAAAAAAAAAAAAAGAAAAAAAAAAAAAAGATTGTGTGGCGTTAAAGCCGCTGTTACGCTAGAAAAGACAAATTTTCAAAATGGTAAAAGGAATTTTAAGGTTGGTGCAGGGGCTCAATCACTGCCTGTAATCCAGCACTTTGGGAGGCCTAGGGCAGGTGAATCAGTTTCGAGGCCAGGAGTTCGAGACCAGCCTGGCCAACATGGCGAAACCCCATCTCTACTAAAAATACAAAAAAATTAGCCAGGCAAGGTGGTGCACATCTGTAATCCCAGCTACTCAAGAGGCTAAGGCATGAGAATGACTTGAACCCGGGAGGAAGAGGTTGCAGTAAGCTGAGATACTGCCACTGCACTCCAGCCTGGGTGACAGAGCGAGACCCTGTCTGGAAAAAAAAAAAAAGTAACATTTTAATGAAAGATCCTGATACTGAGGGTTGCCTGGCCAGAGGCACAGTCAGCAGGTTCCCTAGCTCGCCATCTCCAGGAGCCCTCCCTGCACCCCACTCAAAAGAGAAGCAAACTACCAGGATCACCTGGCACCCGGGACACCCCTCGAAGGAGACCAACCAGAAAAACACAGACCAGGACAGAAAAGAGCTCAAGGTGAGGCGATGTCACACCAAGGAAGATGGGAGATTATAAGAAAGATTCAGAAAACACAGAGAGCTCTTAGAAATGAAAAACATCAAAGAAATGAGACAGCTCTGCTGGAAGCTAAAGTTCAGGTGCTGTCCCAAAGTGAAAAGATGGCCATGTGCAAAAGAAGGATGAGATAACCAGATGGGTTCACTGGGCAGGCCGAGTAATAGAGAAAAAGGGAGAGAAATCTAACGACTAATTCAATAGAAGCTCAGGACAGGAGGCTGTCGGACAGCAAAGGCCTGCTGGGCTCACGTTGCCGTGAGATTTCTGAACATGGAGATTAGAGGTAAGGAGCTAAAGTCCCACAGCTGCATGGCAAAGGCCAGGAGCCAGAGGGCCACGGAGCTGCCCAGTGAGAACGCTGGAGGCAAGACGACAGCAGGGGCGCAGGCTGGGAGACAGACATGTGGCCAGGCATGCTGCGCCCACCAGACACGGGGCAGGGAGGGGGACCACCTGCAGAGGATCGAAGGCACCTCACAAGATGAGCAGGGTGTGGACCAGGAAGTGGGGTTCCATGCAGGGGAGGTGAAGGGAGCCCCCAGAGAGCAGGGTAAAGATGCAGGTGCACAGCAGGTGTGGACAGCACAGCACAGAGCAGAGGAGGTTGGAAGGCTCTGGGCTCCCCCGTCAAGAGGCCGAAGGCAGTTCCTGACCCATGTGTGTGTCTGCAGAGGGCAGCAGCGGGCACAGGACCAGATGCACAGAGAGCAGTACAAGAGAACACCAGACACTGGCACCTCCACACAAGGCCAAGCTCACCCACCGCCTGTAGTTACGGTGTCCATGCACAAGGCCAAGCTGCACACCGCTGAGGGTCGGTGGCCTCCTCGCCCATTGCCCGCAGTCACGGCGTCCATGCACAAGGCCAAGCTGCACACCGCTGAGGGTCCGTGGCCTCCCCACCCACTGCCCGCAGTCACGGCGTCCACAGCCGCAAGCACTCAGCGCATGCCTGGCTGCAGCCCACTCAGCAGCAGGACCCCACCTGCTCAGGCCAGACAGCGGCCTGAACCACAGGGGACTTGGATACAGCACCCCAGGCGCAGTAGGTCCACAAGCGGGGAGAATCCAGGGCATGATTCCCAGGGACCAATAGAACCCTCACTCTGCACGCCCAAGGGCTAAGGGAGGAAGGCAGGTGCCCAGATCCCCAGTTCTTCAATCCAGTAAAAGGAGAACCCAAATTCAGAAAGCCCTGGATCAACTGAAACAGTTCTTCCAATAAGGTGTTTTTCAATTAAAGACAAATACCAAGTTACTGCAACTACCAAGTCCCAATATTTAACTAAGCATCAAGATGGGGCCCTCTGGGAGGCTCTCAAACCAAAGGATACGCGGCGTGCCCTCCGTGCGGCAGACCAGGTAGAGGCAGGCGGCGATCACGTGGGCCATCTTCCGGCCGCGGGTCAGGTGCCTGCTCACGGCCATCTTGAAGAAGTTGAAGGCAGTGTCCAGGCAGTGCTGGTTCAGCTGCAGCTGGTTCCCCAGGTGATGGATGTGGCGCCGCCCTAGGACACAGCACGAGACAGCTCTTAGCCAAACGTTCCCGCAGAACATGAAAAGTATCACACGGCTGCAGTAGCAACTTTAAGAATACAGATTTGTGCTTTCCCTTATAAGTTTCTGAGCTCACTTTTTCTGTGTGGGTTCCAATCACATTTTATTTACGGACACTGAAATGTGAATTTTCTGTGATCTCCACGTGCCATGAGATCCTGTTCTGCATGTTTCCCTTCTTTAGGCTCTGGGTGGCATGTGTGGTGTGGCTCAGTGTGCCTCTCTCCGGGGCTCTGAGGTGCAGCGTGTCTGGCAAGGGCTTGGTTTGCGCTGGCTGGCAGGTGCTATGCCCCTGACTGCCCTGGGCTACGGTGTGAATGCCCCTTTTCCTACAGCCACATGCCCCAGCGCCACCTCCTTCCCCAGCCGCAGAGAGGTTGGGCCAGCCCACCCCTCCCTTCTTAGCAGGGCCCACACTGCTCAGCCCAGCCCCCACCAGCCTCTCCTCTAAGAGCCAGCCACCTGGCCTGAGAAAGGGCCAGCCTAGAGCTATCCCCTGCACCTGCCTAGAGGGAGGGCCATGGCAAGGGCATGCCCAGCAGACCAGAGGCCACTGCACCCTCCTAGGGGCTGCGAGGTGCTGGAGGTGGCCAGGACGGCAGCATCCGAGCACACGCGTTCCCCTGGAGCAAGACCTTCCCAAAGCTGCGGGCCACGTGATGGCATCAGGAGGGGAGCGGCAGAGCTGCCCCGCAGGCAGGAGGAACCTTGGGAAACAAATGCCAATGCAGGGCAAAGGTGCAGAGCACAGGCTGTGTGGGGAGCTCCTGGGCCAGCCTCACTGCCCCTACTTCTGTCTGTAGAGTTGGTGCCGTGGGCAGACAGCCTGTGCTCCAGGCAATAAGCCCCATGGGGTACCCAGAGGACATGTACGGTGGGTCACAGCTCGATGCAGAGGAGAGCTGCCATCATGGAGATTCCAGTTCCCACTGTGTCCTCTGGCACCCAAACCCCCAGTCCTCCTGCAAAGACTACCCAAGGCAGCCTCCATCCCCACATGAAGTCAAAAACTGACCTCCCAGATTCATTTGATAAGGGCACATGAGCTGGAGAAGGTGAGGGCTGATGTTCTGCTCACGCCAAACTTCACTAATGATGACCAGCAGCCAGAGGTGGGCAACTGCTGAGCCTGCATCCCAAGGAAGCTGGTGGCCAGGGTACACAGTCTGGCAGGTCTGAGTCAAGCCTCACACTGTGCCAGACCCCTGGCAGTCAGCAGCACCACACGGAGCCCCAGCCCTGCTGTGGCCCTGCCACCGTGAGCACCTAAGGTTACCTGCCTGGAGCTCATACAGCTCTGAGGCCTGCAGTCCAGCTGAACTGACATGGAAGGCTGGTCACTGTCCCCAGAGCTGAGGCCTGGTCACAGCCAAGACCCCAACAGAACAGACAGAAAGTGCACCGTGCCGGCTGCCAGCTGTGCATGTGCAGCACCAGCCAGACACACCAGCACAGACCATCCCCATGGCCCAGCAAGGCCCAGAGGGAAACAGAGTCAGCTGACAGGTAACCCGCTGAAGCTATCACTCCTTACCTACCAGCTCTCTGCTGTATGTCTGGAAAATTCTGTAATAAAAGGTGAGAGAGAAGTACTCTCTGAAAACCACACACTTGAGGTTGGGACTCGATCTCAAGCCCCGACTCCACAGGCACCAGCTCATGTTCCCAGCATGCAAGGGTGCTATGGTCTGAATGTTTGACTCCTCCTAAAATTCCTATGTTGAAATCCTAACCCCTATGGGGATGGTATTAAGATGCAGGGCCTTTGGGGGTGACTAGGTCAGGAGGCAGAGCTCTAATGATCAGCTCAGTGCCCTTAAAAACGGGACCCCAAAGAACTAGCCCAGCTCTTCCACCACGTGAGGCCACAGTGAGAAGGAGCTGTCTGTGGGCCAGAGGCGGCCCTCATGAGAAAGCTGGGGAGGAGGCAGCTGTCTCCCCCATTTCCATCTGGAACTTTCCGGCTCCAGAAGTGTGAGAAACACATTCCTGCTGTCTTGCCTCTCTGGTCTGTGGTGTGCTGTTACAGCGGTCCAAAAGGACTAAAATGGGGGGCTTACGATGACTGCAGTAAGTTATTTTTTACCATCTTCTTTCTTTTTTTTGAGACAGAGTCTCGCTCTGTCGCCAGGCTGGAGGGCAGTGGCGCGATCTCAGCTTACTGCAACCTCTGCCTCCCGGGTTCAAGCAATTCTCCTGCCTTAGCCTCTTGAGTAGCTGGGATTACAGGTGAACGCCACCGCACCCAGCTAATTTTTTGTATTGTTAGTAGAGACAGGGTTTCACCCTGTTGGCCAGGATGGTCTCAAACTCCTGACCTCGTGATCCGCCCACCTCGGCCTCCCAAGGTGCTGAGATACAGGCATGAGCCACTGGGCCTGGCCAAAGATGTTATTAATAAACAGATATTGGCCGGGCGCGGTGGCTCAAGCCTGTAATCCCAGCACTTTGGGAGGCCGAGACGGGCGGATCATGAGGTCAGGAGATCGAGACCATCTTGGCTAACACAGTGAAACCCCGTCTCTACTAAAAAATACAAAAAACTAGCCGGGC